GGGAAAATGAAGAGCGATCGAAAGGCACCCAGCACAAAAGACACAAGTACACACATAAAGTGCCTGTGACCAACGTGAGGAGGGTGGGCTGAGCCCTGCGGCTGCTGTCAGTGCGTCTGGGCATGCCTGGGCCTGTGTGTGAATAGAAATGGTAAGTTCTCAGAGATGAAAGCCCAGGCAGAGGCTGCCTTGGTCCCCTAGTGTTGAAGGCTCACGGTTGTCCACACAGGTATGTGTGTATCGGTCTTGTCCTTAGTGAGTCCTACACATTCTGGGATTCAGGCTCAGATGTCTCGGGTTCCCTCCTTCCCTGAGTTTTGAGTGCTGAGGGATCTGAGGGATGGCCTAGTGGTCACAGACTTCCTGTGACACCCTCTGTTCCTCTTGGAGACTCTTGGCCTTAAAGGAGCCTTGGGTTTTCTGACGTGACAGAGCCCTCTGCTCTTCCTTGTCTTGTGAGGCATTACCACGATGCCTTGTGGTCTTATAAGCAGTGAGAGCCAGGAGATAGCATGGCTTCTGTTTGTGAAGCGGACTGGAGTGGCCAAGGGGATGCTTCCATCACTTTCTGTACTCTGAAAGCCCCAGGAATCAATCCGAGGGCCTCATGCCTGACAGAGAAAGGCTCTGTCCCAGACAGACAGCAACAACAGAAACAGGTATTTTAGCCAGGCGTGTCTTGACATGCCTGTCATTGCAACCCTGGGAGGCAGAGCCAGGAGGATCCTGAGTTGGAGTTGGAGGCTAGCCAATAAGACACAGAGAATCCTGTCTTCAAACAACAACAACAAAAAAGAAAGGCCAAGAATTTGAAAGAGAGCAAGGTGTGGGGGAGGGGCTATACGGGAGGGTTTGGAGGGAGGAAAGGAGTGGAAGAGATGATATCATTTATCATTATGTCACAATCTGAAAAATAAAGGAAACAGTAACAAAAAGATTGCAAGTGCTTTGGTATCTCCCCCCCCACACACACGGCCCGCGCCTAGGCTGTGGGTCTGCGCCTAGGCTGTGGTTCTTCGATGAACCCCAAGTCTAGGCAACAGGTGCTTCAGTGGTTCTACACCTAGGCTGGAGTCAGGTAGGTTGTAGGGGAGGAGTGGGGGAGGGATGGGTGAGATGAGTGGTCACTGTGCAGGGAAGAAACTCCCTCCCCAAGTTCTTCTTTCTAACATAACCTGTTGAGTGGAGCCTGTTACCCTAAACCAGGTCTGCAGCCCTCAGTAAGTGAACCTAGGCAGAGTAAGTGAAGCGAGGCCCCTCCCCCTCTGCTGTGTGTAAGTGGAACTGCAAACAGCCTAACATGAAAAATTGATTCAAGGGCCCAGGGAGGGAGGGTACAGCAGGAGGCGGGGCCTTGGGCCTCTGCCAAACTGGACTCTGGGCCGGAGCAGGAGCCCTGCACAGGATGAGGAAATCAAGGTTGTGTCGTGGTCTGTGCCGGGTAGCCTGCCCTCTTTGCAGGGTCAAGGAGCCTGGGAGGCCAGAAAGGGGCTGGCTACAGAGATCTGAACCGTAGCAGCAGCTGAGGGGTGGGGTTGGGGAGCATCTCTGGGAGGGGAGAGTAGTGGGGTTTCCCAGTTTCCCTGAAGGGCTCTGAAAGGTCAACCTTTGGCCACAGGCCTGCCCAGCTACTTCCCAGTTTCCAGGACTGGGCCAGCAAGGAGGAAATGCCCATCCCTGCACTCACAAACCTGTGCCAGTTCACACCACCAGCATCAGTGTTGCTGGGCACTGAACACGGCCCACGTGTTGGTTGCCATGGTAGTAGGCTACATGCTGGCAGAAGCCCCAGGTTGGGCTAATCTAGATGGAGGTGAGGGAAATCGTCTGTGTTCTGGGGCACTATTAGCACTGTTGGGGGCCAGCTTGGGGGATAGGGCGAAGGGGCCCTTTTGTGGTGAAGGAAAGCCATCCTCAGCAGTCTGAGAAAGTTTTCCAAGACATAGGTGTGTAGTGAACACCTTGAGTCTGAGGCTTTTAGGACATTCTTGTTCCTGCTCCCAGCTGGACTCACCGAGAAGAGCATCAACTCAGACCCAAACCTTGCCACACCCAGTCTAACCCTGACGGGGTCAAAGCCTTTCAGACCCAGCTGTGGTTAGAATGGGCCACTGCTGTGTCCACTCATAGTGGGCTGTTCTCTGAAGTAGGGGTTGGGGCATTGCTCGCCCAAACATCCTCTCAGAGTCCATCAGAGGTGCTCCTCTCCCAAGACATACATGTGTTGAAGTTGGTGCATTAGCACCTTGACATCTGTACTCAGATGCTGCAGTAGCATCAGACAGCCGTGCTTCGGGCAGACTGTCTTCCCCTCTGGTTCATGGGGATAAAGGGCCCGAAAGTGGAACTGACTTTAGATGTCCCAGGATGCAGCCTGGACAGGCCACAGTGGTGCACATTTGTGCACCCAAAATAAGAGAGGTGCTTTCTGTCATCTAAGTACCCTGAGGGCCCAGCCTGCCATAGGCTTGTGTGTAGCTGGGATGTGACCTGCACCCCCACAGGGGATCCTTTAGGTAGTGCATACCTGACTGTTATGGTAGCATCCAGAAGTGGGTGCTGAGGCTTGTGTCTAGAGCAGCATCTTCAGAGGCTCGGCTGCGTCACCAGGTGACAGCAGCTCATCCTAGCTCCTCTCGCTGTGAACCTTCACACACAGCCACACACAGACACTCCATACACAGATATGTCAACAGTATTATGACTTTCCACAGAGCTGCAGCTCGTTACACGGGAACCAGACCCAACACCGGTTCAGACACAGAGGAAGCACCTATTCTGTGGTAGAACTCCTGATGGGATCTGGAAGGGAAAAGACCCTTAGTGGGCAGTGGACCACAGCTTGGAGACTGCAGTGAAGGGCTGTATGGAGAGACCCAGGAAAGCTGCCTCCTGCCAAGGCATACCCTGGATCCCAGCAGGCCCTCCTGTCACAAATGTCAATAGCCTTGCTCCACCTGCGGCTGTTGTGGGGGAAGTGTCCCAAAACTGAGTAGCCATTGACACTTCTGGCTCTATTTCCAACAGTCTGTCCAGAGCCAGGACACTTAGCGCCTGGCGGCCAGGCCTCCTCCCGCTAGGCACCTGATGCCGGTGAACCCTGCCAGCACCAGTCAGGCTAATGAAGCCATTATGCCAATCAGAAGGACTAGACTCTCAGGGCTCTTAAGCAGTCTGCCTAGGTGGGGTTAGGGCACCGTGGGCATAGCTGACCCTCAGGCCTCTTTCCTCACAGGCTAACAGACCCTTGGGACCTGGTGGGAGGCTGCTCCAAGCTTGAAACACTTCTCAGTTTGGCAACTGGGGCTTTTGCACGGACATCATCCCCCGTCTACTGTAACTCTAAGGCGGCACTTGACGCACAGCCTCACTACACTTTCTGACGGTGCCTCATACATGTGCATGGGTCACAGCGGTAAATAAAGCCAGCCCGCAGGGAAAGCTGACAGTAATAGGGTTAGCACAATCTGTCATGGATCCTACCCTGAGCCTTCTATTGGGGCAGTTCCTTTTACTTTCTCAGGGTCTCAGACGCTTGGATGGACTTACCTCACCCTCTGCATTCTCCCTTAATGTAGACCTCTATGCCAGTTTGACCATGTACAAGTCCCCTACTATGGCCACTTGAGGGATGATGGGCGTGGGGTGAGGGAAGGAGGACTGGGGGCGTGGATGGAAGCATTCCACATCCTCCCATTGCTATCCCTCAGGAAGGCCTTCCCACTCTGTCAGTCACATGGTGCTATGAGGTAGAAGACTCCAATTCTGGCTCAGGCCCAGGATGGACCGCTCCAGTCTCCTGCTTGGCTCTGGTCCCCTGAGGCAGGTCCAGGGTAAAACTGAACAGGGCCACTGAAGCCCCCTGAGACGCCTGTCAGACTCAGCATGGAGAGGGTACAGCCAGGTGATCCCAAGGGTAAGAGGTCAGGTCGGCTTCCAGCATCGCCTAAGCTGTACCACCCAGCCTTTGGATCCCTTTGGAGTACTTTTAGAAGCATGGGGTAGAGTGTACCCTGCACAGCCTCACTACGCTCAAGTCTGTAAAAGCCATGGGCCAAACCCATAACCCTGTGATCTGAGCACAGTCATTGGGTCTCCAGGTCTGCCAAAGGCGGTTGAAGCTAGATCATTCTGAGCTCCCTGCACAGAAGGGAAGAGCATCGTGCCCCGATAATTGGCAGGGAACACAGGGTCCCTGGCATATCCTGAGTCTTTGCCTGCTACATGGTGTGTTCCTGCACAAGCAAGGATGTGGGCATTATGTGGTTGCCCTAGAATTCCACAGGAGGCTGCTCTTTCCAAACTAAGTGGACCAGGAACACCAGGGCACCTGTCTCCACACTACCATCCCTGCTCAGGGTCAAGGTGTCCCAACTTTACCACTGGCCCTTATGCCCTTGGTGCTACATTCCCAGGCCCATGGCCTAGGGGCAGACGTAGGACAATGTCAAGCTCAGGGCCACACACAAGGGTAGGAACTGTGCGGCCAGGGGGATAGGCCAGGATGCTGCTGCATGCTACAGGGGGCCATATTGCTCCTGGTGGCAGGAATCAGAGATGCAGTAACTGGATACGGTAGAGGATCTGGCAGGCCACTGAGGGTGGAGGGCTGCGATCAGGTTGCTACCCTGCTGTGAGTTTTCCACTGGGCTGCTTTTTCTACCTTGGGAAAGAGCTGGGCTGGACTCGGGGTCTGAGCTGTGGACTGGGAGGCCTGGAGCTATAGGCAGTAAGAAGAGAGGCTGAGAACTGTGGAATCTACAGTTTATAGGACATGGGACCCAGGTAGCTGTGGGTGAGGGGACAAGGAGGTGGTCAACTTTGCTCTTGTCCTGCTGGGCATTGACTCTGGACTTGGTGCTATCCAGGAGCCACTGAAATCCAAGCTGGGGGTAAGGCAAGGTGGCTTCTGCTCCTAAGCCGGTGCATTTCTGATCCGCCCCCCTCACCCGCCCTCGGCTGCCCGCTGGCCATGTAAGATCTGCCTGGGTAGCCAAGGCCACAAGACAGAGGGAGGCAGCACTGGAGCAGGTAGTGTCCATGTTGCTGGCTAGGCTTGGGAGCCAAGGCCCAAATAAACAGATCTGGGCCTCAGAGGGGGCTACAGGCCCCCTCAACACTCAGAGCTTCCCCGGCCCCTGAAGCAACGTGGCTAGCCTCAAAGATGCCAACCAACGGCTTGCACCAGGTGCTGAAGATCCAGTTTGGCCTTGTTAACGATGCTGACCGCTACCTGACAGCAGAGAGCTTTGGCTTCAAGGTCAACGCTTCGGCAGCCAGCCTCAAGAGGAAGCAGATGTGGGTCTTGGAGCCTGACCCGGGGCAGGGCACCGCTGTGCTGTTCCGCAGCAGTCACCTAGGCCGCTACCTGTCAGCGGAAGAAGATGGCCGCGTGGCCTGTGAGATGGATCAGCCAGGCCGTGACTGCCGTTTCCTGGTCTTGCCACAGCCTGATGGGCGCTGGGTGCTGCAGTCAGAGCCACACGGCCGCTTCTTTGGTGGCACAGAGGACCGACTGTCCTGCTTTGCTACAGCCATCTCCCCCGCAGAGCTGTGGACCGTGCACCTGGCCATCCACCCACAGGCTCATTTGCTGAGTGTGAGCCGTCGCCGATATGTGCACCTGTGCCTTCAGGAGGATGAGATGGCAGCAGATGGTGACATGCCGTGGGGTGTGGATGCACTAGTCACCCTCATTTTCCAGAGCAGGCGGTACTGCCTCAAGTCTTATGACAGCCGCTACCTTCGCAGTGATGGCCGCCTTGTCTGGGAGCCTGAAGCCCATGCCTGCTACACACTGGAGTTCAAGGCCGGCAAGCTGGCCTTCAAGGACTGCGACGGCCGATACCTGGCACCTGTGGGGCCTGCCGGCACGCTCAGGGCTGGCCGCAACACAAGGCCCGGCAAGGATGAACTCTTCGACCTGGAGCAGAGTCACCCACAGGTGGTGCTGGTAGCTGCCAACCGCCGCTATGTCTCTGTGAGGCAAGGTAGGGCAGGGCAGCGGCCATTGTGTGGTGTGTGCATGTGTGCATACACCTGACACATGCTGGGTTTGGGGGTGCTGTGCATTGGAGATGGGTATTTCTGCACACAGTATAAGTGGGGCTGATGGCTTCAGGAGTCCTTGTCACTCACTCACTAGACGTCTGGAGAGTATCAGCTGGATGTGCTGTCTGCTAGACTGTCTGCCTCTAAGACTGGAGAGGTGCAGCGAGGCAATGGCAGACTATGGGGGCGGTGGGAAGCAGGCTGGGGGGCTGACACATTTTCTCTTGGGCCACCCCACTTTCTCATCTCTGGGGGAGATGAGGGAGGGATGAGGGGAGGGCAAACAGAAACCACTTTGACATGCTTGGCCAGTGGGGACCTTGTGGTACCCCAAGAATGAGGTTTCACTGTTATCCTGTGTTAGACACGGCTAAGTCAGCCTTGCCTAGGACCTGTACTTCTAAGGGGAAGGTGCCATTTCTACCTGTGGGGTGTGGCTTGGTTTTCATTATTTCCTGGCCACCGGTCACTTGTGTGACACCTGAGCGGTCTGAGGTAAACACAGTGTTCCTTCTGCCCTATGAAGAAGCCAAGAGTCTCGCTCAGGCCAGAAGAAACAGTTACTTCCATTTTGGGCTCTGGGCTCATGTACTCCAGGGTGCCCAGACAGACCTTGTCCTGAGTGCTCTGAGCTCAGTCAAATGGAGAGGTGAAACAGGAATGTTCCTCCTTCCTCACTCAGACCCTTTCACACCAGCACTTGCCCGAGAAAGGGCAGCTCCCATGTGCCTGTCGTGACCCTGCCCACTGCTGTAGTAGTAGCACATATGTGTCACATCTCCCTGGGCATCTTATGTCCTATCCAGATGGTCAGGAACTCCCACGTGGGAGGCCAGACCACCCAGAAGAACCTGCATCTGCAGCGATGGCCTTTTGGTCAGTCTGACGCAGTAATAGGCATTGGAGTTACCAGCCCTGTGGTCCAGCCATACTGCCTGGCCTGGGGAAGGCCAAAACATTTGCAGACCTTAGTCAAGCAAGCTAGCCAGGACAGCGTAATGGAGTACTTCCTGGAGGAGATGGGGTGCTAAACACTGTAACAAATAGACTATAACAGACTGGAGGAAGGTGGTAACAGTGTCTGTACTGCTGGCCATGCTGTGGGGGCTTGGTGGGGGTGTTAGTGATGTTGGGGTGAAAGTGGTAGGGGTGGTGAAGATAGTGATGGACGGGGGTGAAGCTGTGACGGTGGTGTTGGAGGTGATGGTGGCAGTGAGAAGCTGTGACAATAATGGTGGAATGTGGGCTGAGGACGTAACTCAGTGGCTAGCACTTGTCTGGTGTGTACAACGCTGAGTTCCATTCTCAACACAGAAGGAAAAAATGATGGTGGATCTGATAGTCATGGAGCTGGGTAGGATAGTGGCTGCGTGGATTGCTCTTCTTCAGCCTTTAAAAACATGATGTGCACATAGGGTACTTGCATGTGAATACAGGTGCCTGCAGAAGCCAGAAGAGGGTGTTGGCTCCTCTGGAGTCCGCCTGGTAACGGTGCTAGGAACAAAATTCAGGTCCTCTGCAAAGATAGTCAGTGCTCTTAAAGCTTGAGCCATCTCTGCAGCACATTTTTCAGTCTCTTAAATAATAATAACTAGCTGGAAACAGTGGTGCACATCTTTAGTCGAGCACATTCAAGGCAGGGACAGGTGGATCTCTGAGGCCAGCCACAATGAATTCCAGGAAAGTCAGAGCTACCTAGTAAGACCCAGTCTTGAAAAAAGAATAAAATTTATTAGTGTGTGTGTAACATGTGGGCACACACATGCCTTAACACACTTGTGGACAACTCTGTGGAGTCCGTTTTTCCTTCCACCTTCACATCCAGGGATCAATCTCCGATCACTAGGCGTTCAGGGCAAGCACCTTACCTTGCTGAGCCACCCAACTGGCCTCTTTCAGCCTGTTTTGTTTTTTGAGACAGGGTTTCTCTGTGTGGCTCTGGCTGTCCTGGAACTTGCTGAGTAGACCAGGCTGCACTCCAATCCAGAGATGTGCCTGCCTCTGCCCGCTGGGATCAAAGGTGTGTGCCGCCTCTGCCCAGCTCTTGACCACACTGTATGTGATTCTATCCCTTTGCTGGGAGAATCTCCTGGTAAGAACACTGGAAGTAAAAGCACACTGGGCTTGAGTCTTCCTTCACTGGGGCTGAGATGCCTGCCAGTGGTTCCGCCTTGGGATTGGTGTCGGATAGGGCTTTGTGTTGGGGTGGAAGTGACACTCAGCTCAAGGAAGCTGGAGAGGTCATTTGGGTGTTTGTTCTGGCCAACACAGCATCTACTGAGTAGCAGCTCATCTTGGTCTGGTCATCTGGAGGGACAGCCCCCAGACTTGTCTTCTAGCCAGGAGCTACCTATGAGCAACCACTTTGTAGCCTTGGTACTGGGTTTCTTTGCTAGCGTCTGCCTGTCTGCATTTACTGGTGCTGTAGGGCTGACATGCAGCTCAGCTGTGAGCATTTGTTTCTGCCAGGAACAGACAGACGCAACCCCTTTCCTGAATCCTAGGGGACATGCCTCACACTTGTCCAGAATCCACCCATCACTGTCCAGATCATTCTGGATTCTGTGCCCCTCCCACTGCCAGGTCAGTTCCCTCCAAGCAGGTGAGTGTGAAGGAGAAGGTGCATGCAGACGCCCTGTCGCAGATGCAGGAGCCGTGATGTGACGCGGGACACAGCACCTTGGCCTGCGAGATGGAGATGTGGGTGAAGTCGATGGATGGTGCTAGTGGCATGCCCAGCTAAGGTCCCCTGACCTGGCTCTGCCTTCTGTCCCTGCAGGAATCATCTTTGTTGAGATGTGACTTTTCTCGTCTATAGCATACCTCCATATGAGACACTACCCAGAATCCCACTGCCTTCTCACACGTGGCCCAGTACTGTACACGAAGCTGAGGGCTGTCCCTGGCTCCACCACCCAGTTTAGTGTTTGTCGCTGCAATGACGGAGCTGCAGAGGTGGGAGCAGTAAAACAGACTGTTGGGCCCGGGTCTGAAGAGATGGCTCAGTGCTCAAGAGCACTGGCTGCTCTTCCAGAAGACCCACGTTCAATTCCAAGCACTCACATGGCGGCTCACAACTGCCTGTAACTCCAGTGCCAGGGGATCGGACTTCCTCTCTGGCCTGAGGGGGCCGTTTCCTGGGGCTGTGCCAGCTGCTCTTCTGTGTGGGAGCAGTGATCTCCAGGGTGAGGGGGTCTGGCCATGGCCTTTGGGAGCTAGAAAAGGGCAGCACACTGCAGTCTCTCCACTAGGGGCACTGTTTGGTTGTTCCCGCTCAATATGGCCTGACCTTCAGGCTCTGTCCCCCACCTCCTATTGTTACATCCTGAGCCCCAGGGATCTTGAGGGCTCTGCCTGCCACACTATTCAAGAATTACCAGTTGCCATCGGAACTGATGCAGTTTGTAGGAGGGAGCCGGAGCTTATGGGACAATCCTGAGGTTGTTTCAGGGCTTGTATGCTGAGTCAGGCCATGGCACAGTTGTCCTCTCTGCATTACAGGAACACCACACAGGCCCTGGGCACCCTGCCCTCCCCAGAGACTCAAGTGTATGTGTGGGAGGTGGGCTGGTTACCAGTCACTGCCTACGAACTAGGTCACCTCAGCGGGAAGGTCAGAGACCCCACCTGACAGCCTAAGGGTGTGTTATAAATAGAAATCGCTGTAAATCCTGTGTCCAGAGAGCAGGAACAAGCAGATTACTTGCTGATTAGCAGAACAGGGATTTGCCAGCACGAAAAGTTCTGTCTCAGGAAGTGTGGGAAGAGCTGGGTTAAGAATTCATCCTTGGAGGCCATGTGTGAGGGCACTGGTACCTGACTGTCCTGGGGCAGCCTCTGACAGATGGCTTCAAAATCTAAAGAGGAGAGAGCGCTAGCTGAGACTCTCTCAGCCTTCATGGTATCCAAAGTATGCTTCCCCATGTCTTGTCTCCCAGGAGAGGTGTGAGGAGCTTCACTGTCTTCTCCCTCCAGGAATCAATGTCTCAGCCAATCAGGATGAAGAACTGGATCATGAGACATTCCTGATGCAAATTGACCAGGAAACAAAGAAGTGTACTTTCTACACCAGCACTGGGGGCTACTGGACCTTGGTCACTCATGGAGGCATTCAGGCCACGGCCACACAAGTGTGAGTGCACCTGCCCTTGTCTCTGTCACTTTTACCACATCATCCCCACCACCAACTGTTTGGTTTTGTTTTTTTGAGAGAAGGCTCACTATGTAGCTTTGTTGGATGGCTTGGAACATAGATTCCAACCCAGAGATCTGCCTCTGCTGGGTTTTGTGCCACCACACCTGGTGACCACTGTCACTTTCGGTCGTCACCTCCACCAGCACCTTGAGCACAGCCTCAGCCGTGAGAATAGCAGCCCAATCAGCAAACAGCACTCACTGCAATGAGGAGTCACTCCTACTGTTGATGGGTGGCTTCTGTGGAGGACAGGCTTCTGTTCCACCTGGAACCCAAGGAGGATTAGGGAGGCAAACTCTGCACCTCTTTCTCTGAAATCTTCCCCCTCCCCCACAGTTCTGCCAACACCATGTTTGAAATGGAATGGCATGGCCGGCGGGTGGCACTTAAAGCCAGCAATGGGCGTTATGTGTGCATGAAGAAAAATGGGCAGCTGGCCGCCATCAGTGACTTTGTGGGTGAGCATTCCCTGCCTTCTGAGGGTTGGGGCAGCTCTCCATCCAGGGTCTGTGCATCTGAGGTCCCCTGGGCACCTCTTCAACACCTTCTACATTAGGAACACTGTTTCTGTGGTGGTGCTAGGTCTCTTGCCACAGTAGCACACTAGGAAGTAGCACACCTGGACCCCTGAGTCCACGGCCTGGAAAGGACAGGTGTGTGTGTGGGGGAGTGGTCAGTCCACAGCACCCTCTCCCGCAGGCGAGGATGAGTTCTTCATCCTCAAACTTATCAACCGACCCATCCTGGTGCTGCGTGGCCTGGATGGTTTTGTGTGTCACCGCCGAGGCTCCAACCAGCTGGACACCAACCGGTCCACCTATGATGTCTTCCACCTGAGCTTCAGGGATGGCGCCTATCAGATCCGAGGTGCGGGAAAGTGCAGGGAGGCTCTGGGAGGCTCGGTGTGTGGGGCCCTGCTAACCCCCAGCCTTGCCCCCAGGCCGCGGAGGCGGGTTCTGGTACACGGGCAGCCACGGAAGCGTGTGCAGCGATGGGGACTTGGCGGAGGACTTCCTCTTCGAGTTCCGAGAGCGTGGCCGTTTGGCCATCCGTGCCCTTAGTGGCAAGTACCTGCGTGGAGGTGCCTCAGGGCTGCTGCGTGCTGATGCGGACCTGCCTACAGGGGAAGCCCTCTGGGAATACTGAGGACTCACAGGAGGTCGACCCCAGAGCCCACTGACCCAGCATTAAACCTTTGTTGCAGAGTTGCTGTGGGCTCAAGCTGCCCAGCCTGGTAGTGGGAAGGGTGTGCACCCTGGAGTCACGAGGTCCCCTCTGCTCGGCACCAGAGCTCTGCCCCTGGGAAAGCCCTCAGCCCCTGCAAGTCTCTTCCCTTCCTGTATACATCTCAGGGCACGGGCCGTGGTTAGAGCTGGGGCTGCCTCGGCCCCTCATCCATCTTGCCCCAGCAGCTGCTAGGCTTTGGGTTAGAGACTGGGGAAGGGACTCTAACCCTGGCTGACTTGGGGCTCAAAGTCCACGACTGAGACCACAGAGACCCATGGGGTTACAAGCCCAAGCCCGGGAGTGGTGCAGCCTGAGCGTGTGCGGGACTGCAAAGGCAATGCAGAGCTGGTAGGGAAGGCAGGAAGCCGGATAGAAGTGATGGCCACACGCATACCCTCACCGTTAGGACTGCCCTTGGCTTGCCCCAAGTGACCAGGGACACATGTCAGGGAATATCTCTATTAACTCCCGGAGTTGACCTTAGCAGCCATCCTGAGTGGGCCACGTCTTGGAATCTCGTCTGTGAGCCCAGGTGGTCCATGGCCTGCAGTGTTCGTGATGTCAGGCATACCTGTACAGGGACACCACACAGGTGCTGAACACCTGTGTCCCAGCTGGAATAATGATCATTCTTTTTCCACAATGACATGTCAAGTGTGACTCTCCAGCTAAGACCAGTATTTCTTCTACTCTGGCAGCCACCTAAGCCACCTAAGTAGTGGGCTCTACTAATTCAGCCAGTGCCCAGGGTAACAGGCCAAAGCCCAGATGCAGGTCTGTGTCCTAGTAAGGCTGAGGTAGGACAGCATCAGCACCAGTCACTAAGGACACGTGTTCCAGCTCCCAAGATGTGCTCGAGTTCAGGCTAAAGAGGAGCCTCTCGATCTCTGTGGGGCAGAACAGCAAGTAGGGGACACTAGAAAATGTCCACTCTGACAGAAACTGAAGCCAGTGCAGCCTAGCAGACACCCCCTTTTTCCAAGGCGGGCCCTTTACGTCCTGTGGGTTGACTCAGCCTCTCTAGCTTGTTGAGATCGCACTACATAGAGGAGCCTGAGGCTCTCACTTGGGAGACGGCAAGAGTAGTTTTGGGGATAAGCTGTGGACAGGGCCTGCTACGGACCACGGTAAGCTGACAACCCTGGGAATGAGCACCTTGTTACAAAAGCCAGCCTCATATAGACTCAAGGTGGTATCTAGAGTGGGCCTATTCAACATCCTAACTGGCCCTATGAAAAACTTTGTCCTGTACGATGGACAGACTCCCAAGTAAATGCCCGGGAGGTGAGCGTGGCAGAAGCCAGTAGCCAGTAGCCTCAGCCTGGCCAGACCTTGAAGGGCAGATCTTTGGCCCCAAATGACCACAGAAGCCTTGGTGGAGGGTACCTGGACACTGAGGAGTGTCCTCTGGTCAGAGGACAAAGGGAAGCTGGGAAGGGTTACCCATCCAGCTGCACAGAGCACAACACAGAGGCGGAGAGCAGAAGTGAAGTCAACTTCAGTAGACACCTGGAACATCACAGAAAGGTAGCTTGTCAGCACAGCACCTCACAGACAGACAACAGGAGGAGGCACAGAGCTCTGCAGAGCTCTCCCCTCCCATGGTAACGACAGCACCAGCAGCCGGGCAGGGCCCAGCTGAAGGAGGAGGCTGGGACGTGGGGCTAAAAGCAGCACAGTGCTGGAGGCAGCCCGTGCTGCTGGCATCAATGGGAGTCCTCCCATGGTCTTTGTGCTTTGGTTGCAGGGAGCACTCTGCCACCTGGTGGCCCCAGACAGGCAGTCAGCGAGCACTCCTGGGGTGTGCTGGGGTCAGCAGCAGAACAGTCCCAAACTTGGAAGTCTGAACCCCAGAAACCCTGTGTCTCCGTGGCCTGAGTACTTGGGTGACGATACTTCCCATCAGGGTGCAGAGGTTCCAGTGGAGGGATGCTGCCAGGCAAGCCCCATGTGTGTCCCGCAGTGACGTGGAGCTGGCCAGCAGCTGTCAGGAAGGAGGGAAGCACTAAAGCCTGGTGGGTTCAGACATGCCTGAAATTACGTCACCCCACCCCCTTTTTCCTGCCTCCCTGACTATCCAGGAGGCGTGGCTGCCTGAGCCCGGCATCCTTTTCCATTCTGGGTAAACCACCAAGGTCAGCACACTGGAGGAAGCGTGGATGGAGGACCAGGACCTACCTGGTCACAACAGGACGAGGCTAGGGTTGCGCAGCTGCTTGTAAATCTTCAGGAGCTTCTGGGCTGTGGAGAAGGAGGCCACCTCATCCTCCGTGCACAGCTGCTCACGCAGGGCTTGCACTTCACGGAGCAGCTCCTGTGGGCAGGCCGCAAGCTCAGCCCGGGCCTCCCAAGGAGCAGCTTATACTGGGGAGGGAGTGGGTAGTCCAAAAAGGAGCAAGGGGTCACACAGCCTTAAATATGTAACACACAGCCACATGGGTGGCCAGGCTAACAGGAAACAGACAAGACCCTATACATTCTGGTGCCATGCAGAGAACGCAGCCCACACTGGAAACTGGGCAGCCCCCACGGCTGGTGCCGCTGAGTACTGTCGTCCTTACATGTCATCTGGGGACACTCCTCAGCCCCAGGCACTGGGGCTTACCTGGTGGTTGGCGTGGATCTGTTGTAGATACTGCATGCGGAGGTCAGGTGGGCTGGAGCCGTGGGCTGCTTGCTCTGTGACCATAGTCTGGAGGACATAAGGGGAAGGGCGTGTGTGTTTTACTGGAGAGTGTTTCCCATTGTCCAGAGTAGGTGCCCAAGTCTAGACGGTAGGGTCCTCATTCTACTCAGAGTGTAGTGACCTCTTCTTCTCTGTCTCCTGGCTTTCCTGCTCAGCTGAGCCTGACTCCTGTGGAGAGCCCACTCATTCATCCACTAGTGTTTCCCACCTTGTTCACCAGGACTTTCCTCAGAGCAGCAGGAATTCCCACCTGACTGTAATTAAGACATTTCTGGAATTTAAGTCAGGGCCTTGAGTAGCCCAGGGTAGCCTCAAGCTTGCCATGTTGCTTAGGCTGGCCCTGAATTCCTGATTCTCCTGCCACAACCTAATTTGGGGACACACCACTAGGACTGATCAAAGAGCCCTTTTGCTTGTTTGTTTGTTTGAGGCAGGGTTTCTCTTTGTAGCCCTGACTGTCCTGAACTTGCCTTGTAGACCAGGTTGGCCTCGAACTCAGAGATCTGTGTGCCTCTACCTCCAAGTGCTGGGATTAAAAGTGTGGACCACCACACCTGGTTTAAAAGCCTTTTTAGCCTAAACCCAAGTCTCCCTTCTGTGGCTCAGACAAGCATTGGGCTGGGCCTTAGGCAGGACCCCAATCTGATCTGTTTTTCTCATTCCCTGTGCAGGCTCACTTGGTGCTGGGTATTCACTCCTGCTTCTGAAGGCAGTTGTCTAACTTGCTAAATGTTGAGGTCTGAAAGGTGAGGACCCGGTGGCCTTTTCAGATATGAGCAAAGCCCCCTGGGGAAGACTTGTCTAACTCAAATATCCACTCAGTGTCCTGGAGAGTGTTGCCTATGGGGAAGCTAACAACCCATAGGACCCTAGCGGCTGTGGGCAGAGTCCTGTCCTTACACCATGAAGGTGTGCTGCTACAGCTGCTCTGAATGCTACCCAAGGGCAGCTGTACCATGTGATTCTTCATCAAGGATCAACTGTGTCCACTTGAGACCACACATCAACTCCTTACCCCAGGTCCCCTGAATGAAGCTTTTTTGAAATGGAGTCTTTGAGGATGACCAGGATAGTCACTAGGTTGGCCTTAATCCTACAAGGCTGTGTCCTTATAATAGGATTTTTTGAGCAAAAGGCCACTGGAGGTGCCACTGCTTTGGAGACTGCCCTGTAGTCCACACCTCGGAGACTGAACTCCCGGCGGCATGAAGCCCGCAGCTATGTTACGGCCTGTCACTCACTTCATGGGCTGATCACACCTGGGAGTCCCATGCCAGGAGAACACATGGGCTGGTCTTCCAGCTCTGAAACTACCACCACCTCTAACCTGGCCCTCCATTCAGAGTGGTCAGCTGTCAGGTCCTGATTCTTAGGGGAAGTAGCACAGACATACAGGGTCAAGTTCTAAGGAAAGGTCAGTGGAGGGTTATAGCCAAGAACCAACTGCAAACTTTGCCTTGGGACTGGGCCATACCAGTCACAAGCAGGTGACAGCTGATCTGGACAGCCACCTGAGGCACCAGGGGAGCTCCTCATCTGAGGAGGCACAGTGCTCAAGTAGCTTTTCCACGGTGTGGCCTCCCTGGCTGTTCCCTCTTCACAGCTCAGGTACACTGGCCTGAAATCCATTCCTGGGGCTCAGACCCAGACATGACAAGTGATGACTAGAAACTTCAGACAAATAGACTCAGATGTGGGTGACACAAGGGCTGACAGGACATCTGGAGGGGAGGGTCTTGTTTGCTGGGAAGGTTCACATGGCAATGTACCATGTTGCTCACAGTTGCATGGGTCCACAGAGGAAACCCAGACAGCGGCTTACCGCCTTCGGAGCCTCCTTCCAGAACCCCCATCCCCACCCCTGCTGGCTGTGGTACCTGTATTCGTTTGATGATGGCATGGTGCACCCTGCACATGTTGGCCAGAGAGGAGCTCTCCACTTGGATCTCCACGGCCTGGATGGGGCCTGCAGGGCTCAAATCAGTCACAGCTACCTGCAACAGATGAGACCTTGAGGAGCTGCAACGGAGTCAGGACTGTACGCGGTCCGGACTGTTCTTTATACTTTAAAGGTGAGCAGACTAGAGAAACCTGCCTGCGGGGCACAACCGTATCAGGATGACTCAGTCCAATCCTGTAGGCTCCACCTCATTCTGAGCCACATCAAGACCCAAGCTATACTTAGCTCCATGCCAGGAAGTGAGGTTCTGACCCTGGGAGCCAATGAGCCTGTCTGTGAGTATCTCAGCCCCTTCTAGGAGATCCTTACTGTGCTAACTATAGGATGGGTCGCCATGGCTTTCTCTTCACACAAAGGTATACGACCCAGCACTTGGGGATTGTAGAAAGGCCTGGCAACAAGTGGTTTCTCTGTGTGGCTGTAAGCACAGATGCTGTCCGCCGGCTGTAACTACTGCCAGTTCCTACTCAGCCAGTTCCTAGGAACTGTCTGCTTTAGAAGCTGGCCACAGCCTGGCTTAAAGGGGAAGTACAGTGGACAGTGGGGCTAAGGAGTTCAGAGGACATGGCCTGAGCTCTGGGGGTAGAGGCCCACAGCTCTTGGCAGACAGGGCTAGTCTCCAAGAGTCTCTGACAGGAAGATGTAAAGGTCTGGTTGGTGTGTTGGTGTGTGGCTTGAAGGGAGCGCATCGCCCTCTAGTGGCCCAACAATTAGCTGGTACTAGCTTGGGATGGCTACTGCATTGAGTCCACTGTGCACAAGAATGGGAACCCATGATGGATATAGTTAAGACAGGGCTTTTTCTCGATACTGATAGGCCAGTTCAAGTAACTCTTCTTAAGCAATGGCCCAGGGACCCACTGAGGAACGTGAGCCCTGAGGTCTGTCTCCCCAAGAACAGAGTGGCCCCTGCTTGCCTCATGGATGATGAGGTTGACATCAGTTCCATCTGGAGCTATTCCCTGGATGGAAGACAGGGCCTGGGCCCTCACAACATCCACAGCAGCGTTCTCGGCAAGGAGCCACTGCAGGGTAGCACTGCACAGGTGGAAACCTGCAAGAGAGAGGCGTCTGTTGGAGCTTAGGCACCTATGTGGCTTCCGCCAAATGCTCCTTTCCCAGTGCCACCTAAGTGTCCCAAACGCTCACAGCCCTTCAACAAGTCGGAAGCTAGGCTAGTTACACAACAGGCAGGGAGGAATACAGACTATCAGGAAGTCATGGACCCAGGACTCAGGTCGTCCTGTGAGCCACATAATACGCAACCCAACATCCCTTGGGAGCAGGGCGGGGGTACTGACGACCAGGACACTTCTGCCAGATGTGGCCCCAAACAATACAATTGACTCTTCACACAGAGGGAGCGAAAGCCAGGCCCAGTGCTGTAACAGAACTCTGACAGACCAGCTTTTGGTCTGGACACCCCAAGGTGCACTGTGTGAGAGAACTTACCAAACTGCTCTCTGGTGACATCTGCCTCTGCTTAGGTTGTACCACCTCACGGTTTTTAAGGAACACACAAAGGACCATGACACAAGATCCAACAGCAGTCTGGATGCAGTGGAGCTTGTAGGAGCCATGGGGAGAGAAAGGGACACCCTACTTCCACAGGCTGTAGGGCCCCGAAGCCAAAGAGAAGCTGGCTGTGCCACCAACCTGCGTGACCGTCCTCCAGGGCTGCTCTGAGAAGGCCTGCGGACACCCTGATGGAGGCTGTGGATGGAGGCAGGTACTTGGCCCGCAGGGAGGCAGCACCGGCGGGCTCGCTGCCAGGGGCTTGGCAGGTCCTCAGGAAAGTTTCCACACCATCACAGGCAGGGCCAGGCACACAGGGGGCCTGTGCAGGGTGCGAGGCCACCCCGGGAAAGCGTAGGCCCTGCAGCATGTCCACTGTGCGCTTGCACAGGGGCAGGCAGACGCCTTCTTGCTTAGGAAGGTTGAGAGGGAGCTTCTCCAGGTAGGGGGCCTCTAGAGGGTCTGAGGGGGCCAGGGCCCCACCCACCACCTCCCTGAGGCTGTAGAAGAGCCAGCAGGACATGGTCACAGGCAGGTCGAGCACACCACTCTCACTAGGGCCCAGGGGCAGCGTCACTTCCCGCCGGCTGCCTGGGCCCAGTCTGTCCACTGGGATGGTGTACGTGAAAGCAGAGCCGGTCCCATCCAGGTCTAAGGCAGAGGAACTAGTCAGCACCTGAATACACAAGGTCCAGCCCTGGTCTAGGCTGAAGCTGCTGCTGTTCTCCAGTGTGCAGGTGGCCATCAGCATGTCTCGCAACTCTAGGCGGCTCCAGGAGGTGGTGATAGAACATGAGATGGGCCGATCACCCTCCTGACTGGACAGCAGGGCACAGCTCACATTCATGGCCTCATTGAGACTGGTTATGGCCTTGTTGCGCTGGTCAACAGCTTTCTTCAGAAAGGACACCCTGCAAAGGACAGTCATGACACCCAGGAGAAGGATCACAGCAGAGGGAGCCGTGTCTGCAGACTCCCTGGGGGAAAGGGACCAGACCATGGTTCACGCGCCAGCTCTCCGAGGATTGAGGCAGCTCCCAGGCCCAAGGAGTACATCTGGAGGATACTTTAAGTTGCCTGACCTGATCTTTAATCTTGGCTATCGTGGGTAGGGCCGGGTGGAGATGCTGAGCTGGCCTATGACTACCAGGGCTGAGCTATCCCATAGATCACCTCAGATGTCCCAATCGGCCCCCCTTTTCCTTTTGCAACACTCCACAGTGACAGTGGGAGCTAGGCCTTGTGGGAATAGCCTCAAGTCACAGGGCCATAAAGCCCAGTCATGAGGGACAAGAGGGATGGGCACTGAAGGTGGCTGGGGGGGACAGGTCAGGGAAAGATGTCCTCCTTTGGTCTGGTGTTGGAAGCTCTGTTGAGAGTAGGTCCCTCTGGCCTCTAAGGAAGCAGGTGAGGGATTGGTAGAATATTTCTAGGTCATGTCATAGGGAAGAAAGGGGTCTCTTGTCTTCTGAGGATTTGTGTGCAAATATTTTGGCTCTTGATGGAGACAGAGGCAGAGACAGCCACACGGATGGTTGTTACCCAAACCCTCCCTAGCCTGGGTCAGTTCCACACAGGATGCTGACCCCTAAGAACAGGGCACAAGCTCTACTTGAGCCAGAGCCTGCAGCTCACCTCTCAGAGACATCACCGATGTCCGAGAGCAGCTCCTTAATTTTCTGGCCTGCATTTGCCACGCTCATTTTGGCAGGCACGGGTGCCTCAGAGCTCAAGTCCAGACTGCAGGTGATCAGGCGTCCTTTAGAAGACAGGGCCAGGAGCTCCGTGCTACCTGATGATGGACATACGCAGGGCTGGTCATAAACACGGAGCAGCTGCCAGACACTCAGAGCCGTTTGCTCTGGACCCCAGAATAGTGTGGCAGAGGACCAAGGAAGGAAAAGAGGGGAGGCCTGAGACGCCCACAGGCACCAAGGGTCTGGACAGAGACGGGGACCACTGACATCTGTGCATACTTTGAAGTGCCTACACAAGATGATGCACCGCAGATGTGGTGCCGTGGTGGCAACTGGTCCACACAGACAGGACAAAGAGGGGCCAAACAAGGGCACCGTGTCACAGCCCTCAACAGGCCATATGGAGCAAGGCTGCGGAGCCTTCCAAAGCAAAGCGCTGCAGAGGGTGAGCTCTGCTCACCCCCAATCTCTAGCTTTTCCGCCATGTATTCCTGTCCCGCCCCTGCCAAGGGTCTGCTTGCTTCCCAGTCCCCAACACAGCTCTTAACACGAACTCTGAAGTGAGCAGTTTAGTGGCTGGAAGTCAGTTCACAGGTACCCTAGTCTCAGGCTATGCCCCCTCACCTGAAGTGGTTTGGGTCTTTCCATCGAAGCGTGTTCCTCTCCCCACCCCCCGTTAAATGTTTTCTGGAGCAGGCTTTAGCTGATCTTAGTGGGAAGACACTGGGGGAGGGGAGAGATGTCTTCCTCTTGTGCCAGAGCCAGCCAAACCTAGCTAAAGCTTCCTTAGAGAGCTCAGGGACACCTTCTCGTAATGGCTCGTAAATGGGCCACACAGCAGCGGAAGCAGGTTCCTTGAGCTCTCAGAGGACACGTCGGGTGTGTGGCCTGACCCAATTTGAGCGCTGCTATGGGAGATGCTCTTAAACCAACCCCACAAGCCGCATGCTTGTGGTGCTTGACTGAGGGGCCACAGTCCAATCCCAGGGAGGACACACATACAGAAGTCCCTTGACCCCAAGACAGGAGTGAGTGACCTTCTGGTCTGTGAGCCTGATGAGGAAGGCCCCACACCTGCTGGCTTAGCAAAAGTCTCGCCAAACAGAAAGGCAAGGAGGAGCCTGCCCTGCGCCTCTGTGATGCCTAACGGTAGCTCATACCTGTAGGCGCCCTTGCTGTCACACACAGAGCGAGGGCACTGCAGATGTTCAAGGTGACTGGGCACAGCACCGAGGGCAGACCTCCTGTGTCCCCGTCTGTCTTCTCGGCGTTCCAAGGACTGTCTCTCTGAGTCAAGTCTACCATACAGAGGTCTGAGGGAGTGCTGTGGTACAAGTGGCCATCCCCGCCGCAGGCGGCGCAGAGCACGGGCCCTGGGAGGCAATACTCACGAAGCTCTGGCACCAGATTCCCTGACTCACTCCAGCTGGCCTTGATGGCCAGTGTCCGGCCCTGGTGACCGAGGGCCACTAAGCAGTCAGAGTGCTGCACATTCTCGCCGGGCAGCAACTCTCTTGCTGCTTCCTCCTCCTGTGGCTCTGCCCTCAGAGCCCCGATGAAGATCACAGGCTCCTCTAGGTGGTGGAGGATCTTGACCAGGACCTTTGGGTCACCGGGGGCTAACCCAGAAGTAACTAAGGCCTTCAGGACCACGCAACAAAGCTGGCCATCAGGGAGACCGCAGAGGATCACGGGGGACTTCAAGAAGGTGGCATCAACTCCAAAGAGTAGACCAAAGAGGGCCTCCTCCAGCATGAGGCACCCGCAGCCCTGGGGGTGACCGTGGGGTGCCCTGCAGTTTGGTGGGAACACGCAGCACAGCACTGGCAGGAAGCACGGGGCTGTAGGCTTCCCCAGCACCCCACCTGGAGGGGTGCAGGTGGACAGCTCCACCTCCCCAACCTGGCCTCCAGGCTGAGGCTCCTCTCCTGCACAGGGACGCTCAAATAGCTGCATCTTCCACTGGGTGGGGCCCTGTGCCAGGGTGACCAACATATCATCCAGCACAGTGAAGGCACAGAGGGCAGCGTCGGGGAGGACACAGGCATCTGGTTCCACATGGATGACAGGGTAAGGGGGAGCCTCATCCTCTTTGTCCTCACAGGCCTGGCTTTCAGACCTTCAGGAACAATGGAACCATAGTCAGTACTGGGTGTGGCAGACTCATATCGTGTTCAACAATAACCTGACTTGGTCTGAGTAGGCTAGGCAGGAGACATCACAGGCCATTCAGCAGGGCGCGCGCACGCGCGCGCGCACACACACACACACACACACACACACACTCCACTTGACACATGGATCAGCTGGAAACATGGCTCTGCAGACAAAGCTCATCAGTGTGGGAACTATTGTCAAGGCTGTATCTGAGCTGTGCACGCTGAGTTCTTCCAGTACAAGCCAATGCCCAACAAGCTTTTGCTGTCACTACTTGCCAGAGACACCTCGTTCTGAGACCCACTTCTAAGAGGTCTTGCCAGGCACCCGAGGGCAATGACAATGGTGCTCCTGGCTGGACTACCCGAGCCTCAACAGCTAAGAACTTCTTGGAAGTAGACACTCTACTGCCACATACGCACAGGTATTGGAGGGTGCCAAGTGCAGGAATGGATGGCCTAGACCGCAGTCCCCTGCCTCCGACCCCAGCGTGTTGCCAGTGGCCGTCTGAACGACTACTACAGGGGCAAATCGCGCACGGCTCAAAGGAGGAAATGAAAGCAGGCCTCCCTGGGGACCCGACTTGTGCACTTGCCGGGCCGCGTGGGGCCACGCCCCCTCACCTGTCCAGTGAGTCCAACGACAGGCAGTAGATGCCAGTCCGGGCACACAGGACGTAGAGTGTCCTGCGGATGGCCAGGAGCTGCAGGTGCCATACCTGGTCGGGAAACTGGTACACCGCCTGGGCGCCAGGAGAGCGAGGTCAGGCGAGGGCACACGCGGCCCTGGCTCACCTCGGAACGGCGCCGCCCGCCCGCCCGCCGCTCACCGTCAGCAGCCCGCCCTCGTGGTCATACACGTAGACGAATTCGCGCCCGGTGGACAGAAAGACCTCCGCCTCATGTCGCAGCACATGCGGCTGCCCCGCCGCCCGGCCTCCGAGCGGGCAGCCGAAGTCCGACAGGTAGTGCACGCGGGAGGATGCGCCCGCCATCCTGCGGGCGCCGGGCCAGGGCTCAGCCTTGAGGGGCGGTGCCGCCTCCAGGCTTTACGGCTGCCTACGGCGCCGCGCGGCCTCCGCCGTAAAGCGGCCGCTGCGGAGGCGTGGCCGGGGCCTGCTGCAGGGGCGGGGACGGCTGCTCAACGGTCCGCTAGATGGCGGGAACGCCCTGCAAGGACTGGAGCGTTAGCAAAAGGACTGGCTTAGCAAAGAGCCAAGTTTACAGGGGGGAGGTGGAAAGCTGGAGGATGGCCCAATGTAATGCAGTCCTGCAAGCTACTCGGGTTCACGTCAGGGTCCTTGCCTCAGATCACCTACTTGTTGAGCAGAGGTTGCTCTGGTGCAGGTTGTATGCAGCACTTGCCCTCGCACCCTTTTATTACAGCACTTGAGAGGGCACCGCCCATATGCCGGGGCTCGCTGTAGTCGGGTGGCTTAGCACACTGTTCAGTCCCTTGATGAGGGAAAAATGTGCTTTAGACCAGCCAGCCAGAAGAGCCTTTCCTCCACTCCTGAACTCGAGCAGGATGTGATTCTGAACTAGAGCAGAGGATGCCGAGAACACGAATGAGCTGAGTCTAAGGGAAACTTTAAATTTTCAACGACAGCTCTACTTGCAGGTCCTATAGGGAGCAAGCTGAGAATCCTACTCTGGAATGAGGCTCCAAGTACAAGATGAAGTACTCACCACTCTTCTACAGCACTCATCAGAAACTAGACAGCTTTTGGAGTGGCAGCTACATGGGAGGCTGAGGCAGGAATACTTGAATTGAGTTTAGGGCCAGCCCAGACAACCTTGACTCATCTGAAAATTCCAGTGAACAAATCTACAAAGAAAGGTGTCTGGGGCCACAACCAGGCACAAAATGTCCTGTGAGCTTGGGATATAGCATAATCCTAGTGAAGCCATCAAAACATCCTGGGGCTGGAGAGATGGCTCAGCACTTAAGAGCACACACTGTTCTTGAAGAAGACCCAAGTTTGATTTCCAGCATCCACATAGGGAAGCTCACAATCCCCAATAGCTCCAGGGGCTCCCACATCTTTTATTGAGCTATTTATGTGCACAAAAGCGAACAGAAACACTAATAAAAGATGTGTGGCGTTATATGCCATTAATCTCAGCACTCAGGAAGAAGAGGCAGGTGGATCTCTGTGAGTTCAAGGCCAGCCTGGTCTACAAAGCTAGTTTCAGAACAGCAAAGCTTACTAAAACAAAACAAAAAGCCCTGTCTGGAATCGTACCCCCAGCCCCCAAATAATCTTTTTTTTAGGCTTTACAGTCGTAGCCTGTCTGTACCTCCAGAGTACTGGGAATAAAGGCACAGATCACCATGCCCAGCTGTACATTAAAAAAAAAATGGCAAGAAAATAAGAATAAAAACCTATTTTGTCATTTCTGAGTGGCTGACCTCTGGACAGATCTGAGCCCAGGTCCCAGGCTGCTCTGAAGACACCTTGGAGGGAAACAAGTGGGAGAGGAATTCTTCCTCTGCAGCATCCTCAGTTTATCTTCTGCACACCAGGTTCTGACACACAAGACTGTCCCTGTGCCTTACTAGGCAACACACACACGCCATACTGGTGGATAATGGTTCTGGGCACAGGAACAACGCACTGGGAGCAGGACAATCGCTTCAGGTGCTTTTATTAGGTTCCACTGCAGGGCTGGGATCAAAGAAACACTAGTCCACACCCAGCCAATGCACACCTGTGAGCCCAGAGCAGAGCCGAAGCGGAGCACCCATGTCCAGGAGCAGGCTGGTCAGAGCAAGGCCAGGGCCAGACCCCACCTCTGAGCCTGAAGAGGACGATGGCAGCCACTGGGTTCGCTTGGGTGGGTATGCTCACAGGCACCTCTTTCTGGGCTGTAGGGCCTGAGGACAGGAGGATTAGAGGTGGGGCCAGGGCCACCTCCATGTAAGAGGAGGTAGCTGGGCCACCCAGGTCTGAACCTTCTGTAGGGCTCACCCCAAGCTGGTAGCTTTAGCTTGACTCTCTTTGGACAATAAAATAAAGTGCATTACTGAACAAAGAGTAACTCAAAACCATAAGCAGAGAAATCACAACAATTTCTTTAGCTAAAAGTCAGAGAAAACAAGAATTACGTGGATGCCAGAACATGAGAACGTAATTAACTTTGTAGACAAAAGATGACTGGGGGAATAAGCAGTGGCAAACAGGTCTTCAGAGTCTGTGCTGTCCAGCACGAGTAATGGTGCTAGTATGATTGGCATCAGAAACATAGCTAAATCGCAGACACAGAAATGCCAGAACATCCAGTCTACCCATCTTAGGGAAAAAACAGAAATGTGAAGCCCTAGCCAGGGACACTACCAGGAGGGAGATTGGACAGCCCTCAGTACTTTCTCCAGATACTGTTGGCAGGTAGCTGGAGAGATTGTTTGCCTTGTTCTCTACCACTCCTGACCTTCCAGGCTGACCCTGTCAATACCAAACCAAGCCCAATGGCTCCACGGTCCCAGGGCTTTAGCTTCAGATCTCATGCCAGGTGAGACCAATGGTGCCGGCCAGCCCTGCCACAGTAACCTATCAACAAGCGTTCTGTCCACAGGGCCAAAGATGCAGAAGGAAGGAAGCATGGGTGCATTCTACTAAAGTGACACACATGGCTCCCAGCAGTCCACAGTTGGCATGGCCTTTCCCAGGGTGAAGGACAGTTGACTTAGCTCTCATTAAGGCAACGAGGCATCAAGATATCCATGTCTTACCTGGGTAAGGGCTGTCACAACACAGCCACACAGGACCCTCAGAGACTGTTTCTATTTGCCTCACAGTGGTCACATGGGCACCTTTTCTAGGCTTTCTCAACTGCCACAGCACTGTGCAAGAAGGCCATAGTGTAGGGACTCGTTGGGTAAAGGAACAGTGCTAGGAGAGGGGACCAGAACTCCAGGGCTGCCCATAGACTTGAAGGGGCTGACTGTCAGGCAAGAGCCTTTACTGCTCTGATGACCCACCCATGCTACCCACTGCCACTGTCCACAGCGTGGCAGGAAAGTCTCAGGCACTGAGGTTTGCTTCAGAGGAGAAATGATTGTGGCCTCCTGCCCAATTAACCACCCAAGAGGAGCTGCACTGAAGGAGGAGAGAGCAGAGTTAAACCTTTCACTCCCATCTGTGCAGTTTTATCTTTAAAAAACAATAAATAAAAGTTTCCTGGGTGGGAATAACTGATAACTGCTGATTTCAGGCAAGTAAAGGGCAAGGACCAACTACACTGCATGTCAGATCATCAAGGCTACCACCCCCTAGCCACACATGCTCCCAGAGGAGGGACACAGCCCCACAGCAAGGGAACAGAGGCAGCCAGGAACATCCATCCAAACACTAGGGGAGAAGGTGGGAAGGCAGAAAACAACACTCATAGAGGAAGGAAAGACAGCAGGGTGACAGCAGCACCCTCTGCACCCCAATTTCAGGTGACTTGTCAGAGGTGTTCAGTCCCTCCAATACAGTGGGGAGCTACTAACTAAATGAGGCATGTAGGGTACTCTTGGGCAGGTCTGCTCTGCCTTTCCAGTTGGGAGGTTCTGTTCAACCCCAACACAGCAGCTGGGGTTCTTTCTCTTCAAGATCTGCACTGAGACGCTTCAGTATATCCGGAATATCAGGGTAGCTGGCCCCACTGTTTCAGGGCTGTGGGCTTCAGGCCTAGGGAACATGTGGTGCTCCAGACTTCAGAGAGGGCTGGACTGGCCCAGTCCCACACAGCAGAGGCCCAGAGCCCTAGGTCCGGGGGAGGCTGCACATCTCGCAATGGCCTGTGCCAGGTTGGTTCATGAAGGTGCAATGCTGACAGGCCCACATGGCAGAGGTAGCAGCACGCGCAGAACCCCCAACTGCACCAAACTCATGGAGGCCTGGGAGCTGCACACCAACAGTGCCTGTAGGGTAAAGTGAGAACACGTCATGTCTGCACACAAAAAGACATATCCTAAGAGCCACATGATAGGGGCAGGGTAACTCAAAAGCCCCTACTGTTTAAGCCCAAACCGTCAGCACATCAACTGTTCTGGCTCCAGTCAGCAAACACCTCCCTACTTGCACTTGAAGTCTGCTCCCCTGTTGCTAGGTATTTCTGTGAGAACCATCACGGCCCTGCAGTGAGCATCTGTGCAGATTTACACTCACATAAACTCTTTGTGGGCTTTCTTTGTATCTTCCTCTGCCCCGGTAAAGGTTCAACAGTGAGACTGCTACATCCCAGTCCCAGTATCTGTAGTGTAGTTTCCTCAGCAACTCACACCCACTCCCAAGTAGAGTTCAAGTCCAACCTGCCCCACGTTCTCCGAGGTACCTGATGCTGTCAGGTCTGTGTGTGTGTGTTTTTTTCTTTTTCATTTTAGCACTCTGATGAGCATGCAGTGGTATCTCATGTCTCCATTGCCATTCCCTTGAAGAATGATAGTACACTCCTACGTTGTCTTTTGCAAACTGTTAACAAGTCCAGCCAAAGCTGGTAACTATGTCTGTCCCTTTGCCCAAGTACTCCAAAGAGGCACCTGGGTCAGAGGTCCGGTGTATAAACGACAGAGCTCATGTTCTATATTTTGACTATGACCCTTGGTAGTAGGGAATTGAGACACTTACTGCATAGCTGCTCAATGGTAGCCCACTGTTCAGACTTTTTCCATGTCTGTGCTAGCTCTTCATTTCTGGTCCTCACGGCTTCTAGCAGCAGGCTGATACTGTCCTGCAAGAAGCCACAAGGAGGGTTACATTCTGCTCTGATTGAGGAGAAAACACTCTATTTTTTTTTCTTTTTTTCTTTTTGGTTTTTCGAGACAGGGTTTCTTTTTATAGTCCGGGCTGTCCTGGAACTCACTCTGTAGACCAGGCTAGCCTTGAACTCAGAAATCCGCCTGCCTCTGCCTCCCAAGTGCTGGGATTAAAGGCGTGCGCCACCACTGCCTGGCTCTATTTTTTTTTTTTTCTTAACATCAATAACATCTTTCAAAGAAAATTGAAAAAGAATCTCAGAAGTTGTCACTGCAAAATACAAGA